ATAATGGAAAATCCCTAATCAGAAATAATACGTCTTTAGAATTATCAAAAAAACCCTGGCGCCGACAGACCCACCCCAGTTTTTGACTGCGTCAATAAAAAAAGCAGGACCCCAATCGACAGAAATCAGTTGAGCTGGGCCGCGGACAGCGAGGGAGTTTGAGCGCGGGCAAGGCCCGGTTCATTCGGCCTTGCGGGAAAACAAGCCGAAGTGAAGAAATCCAACCGGAAGCCGAAGAGAAGTTAAGTTGGGGACGCCTCGGACGAAGAAAAAGTTAAGTTGCAGTTGCGCCTCAGAGAAGTTGGAATCAAACCAAGCCTAAGAAGAGAAATTCGTCCAACCCAAGCCGAAGTGAATAAGCTCGACCAACCGAAGCCGAAGTGAATAAGCTCGACCAACCGAAGCCGAAGAGAAGAAGTCGATTCGCGCACTGACGGCGAGAAAAATCAGCCGTGAACGACAGGTAGAGATCAGCGCCCAGTGTCGAAACCAATCCACACCCCGAACTGCAAATTTCTAGAGAGCAGGAAACTCGAAGCCTTAAAGCTGTATGGTAGAAGCTTGGTGCCACAGTCCACAAAACGGGTCGGGAGGTAGGAATAATCTTGTGTAACGAACATTTAGATATAAAAAGTTGTTACCTTTTTCTTCAATAATTTTTGACCTTGTGAGTTTTTCTTTTTCTTGTGTGTTATCACCCCCGTTGAACTCAGCTTGCATACGGCCCCAATCCCTGTTTGATCCCGTCTGTCTAAGATCTAATCACAACGTGGGTAGGCAGACCGGAGATCAGTGCAGTTACCCTAGTAACCAGGCGTTGGAAGCGAGTTGGGAACGGCGAGGCTGGTATTCATCTAACCAAAGGGTTAGAACGTCACACTTGGAGCAGCGAGGAGCGAACAGCTGACGCCGCGGCAAAGACGTCACAACTGGTGTCGTGACCATAGGACCAGAACCCTGGACCACGTCACGTCACAGTTGGCGCCGCGAACGAGATCGAACGACAGAGTCGACGCTGCGACCAGGGGGGGGGGGCGACGTCACATATATATATATGTATATGTATTTTCATATATATATATGTCTTTCAAATATCTATCTATCTATATATGTGTATGTGTGTGATTTTCAAATATATGTATGTGGTGTCTCTTTTCAGATATATATCTTGATATATAGATATTTGAAAAGCACATAGATTGCGATGGATAAATTGTCGTCTAAATCATGCAAAAATGAAAATAACACTGACATCTCATTGTAACAGATATATTTACTAAAATTACACAAAAATATCTTGAAATAATAAAGAGTAAATTTATTCAATAAACCGCCATTGGATTCAACCACGGCCTCCAGACGACTTTGGAATCACCTGCAACTCTTCTGGACGGTCTCCTTGTTTAAGTTGGTAAATGCAGCCATAATCCTTGCTTTCAGTTCATCTTTGTTGTTACAAGGAGTTTTGATGGTCTCTCACTCAACTGTGCCCACACCTAATAATAATATTTTATTGCTGTCTGGGGAGTGAGGTGGCCAGATGTAAGGTGTGATATGGTCACAGAAATTGTCTGACAGCCATGACTGGGTCTTCCTGCTTGTGTGACATGGTGCAGAGTCCAGTTGCCAAATATAGTGACTTCCAGTAGCCACCCTCTCTTCCTGAGTCAGTTGATGCAGTATCCAGATTTGTTATAGAAATGTTATTATTCATTTCATGTGCCATGTCCTTTCAGGACGTAGGCGATCATGTCTCTCCACTTCTTCCTATCCCTTGTAAATATCAACAAGTTCCTTCTCACTGCTTCCTCCCCCAGACCACGTTCTGTCATTCACTTGTTTAAGCCTGCTAGGTATGTCATACATTGTTTTCCATTGTCTCTCTTTCCCTCTATTTGACCTGTGAGTATCAGATTCTCCAGGTCCTCTTTCCTCATTATGTGTCCCAGAAACTTCAGCTGTCTCTTCCTGATATTAAGTATAAGCCTCCTCCTTGTTTGCATCCTCTCTAAAACCTCATTGTTGTTCACATGCTCGGTCCACAATATCCTTAGCATCCTTCTGTAGAACCACATCTTCACCTCGAGTTTCTTCTTTATCTTTGAGGAAATCGTCCAGCATTCAAAAAAGCAGATGAATAAGTATTCTTTTTTTTGTTACCAAAGAAATCCTCCTGTCTCACAATACTCTGCCCAGCTTTTGGAATGCGTCCTTGGCCATCCCAATACGTCTACAGATCTCAGTGTTGCACTTACTGTTCTATGTCAAAACGCTTCCCAGATATTTAAACTTCCACCTCTGCTTGATTCTAGTATTCCCAACCTGCAAATCACATTTTAGGCTTATCCTTTTATTACTTTTATTCATCCTTTATGACAATAGACTTTAATGACAACAAGGAGGTTTTTGAGGAAATCCAAAACCTTAAATTAATTTTTAATTGTTCCCTGATGTATCAAGAGCTCTATCAGTAACACCTGTTAGGCTCCCAACTATGGGCAAATAGTTAAGTCCCACCAGCAATTAAGATGTGGTTCCACGCTCCTCAAAGCCTTCTGATCAGAGGCCTTGCAGTTGGAGGTAGTTTATCGTCATACCAAAGACGGCATTAGGAGTTGTGCTGCTAAACAAACAAAATTGCTTATTTTCATGTCAGTGGACCAGTTAGGCAGATTAAGAACATTTTCATATTTTTACCACATATTCTGAAATAAAAATATAGCCTGATCCTCACCCAAGCTTCCTACTGAGCAGACATTGATCACCTGCCATGGTGTATTCCTATTCTCAATCTTATCAGTGTTCACTCACAAGGTAATATGATGAAAGATAAATGTCATGTCAAGAAATAAACTGCCTGCTTCCCATATATGAATGTTTCTGAAGTGAAAAGTGGCAGTACAGTGGTTTCTCTATGAACCTGGTGAGGCTATGTGGTTTTCCTTGTAAGCCCAACTGGTGTGGGCTATTGACGTCTTTCTTCTTTGGGCTTTACATCACAACTTGTATTTGACACTCATGACTTTATCTCAACCAAAGTGAGATAATTGCCTTTTGTATTCCTACAGAAGCTTTGGCACTATTTACATTATTCGGACTATTGTCCTCATGTTTGTCAGCATATTTATTATGTTTTGGCTATTGTATGCTCCAGATTTCTTCAGGTGGTTGGAATGTCGAACTGAACCCTTTATTTCGCTCGCTGGAGGAGGACTGTTCTAGTTCCACGTGCCATGTTTTAATGGATGTCAGTTATCAGTTATCTCCTCTTAATTCCCCTCTCCAAGTTCTCCACTGCCTTAACCAGGTATTGAACTCACACTCTTTGGATTCTGTCACTGGATCTAATTAACGCCTTTATCCACTGTGCCATGTGGAACTAGAACAGTCTACCCCAGTGAGTGAACTGAAGGGTTCAGTTCAACATTCCAACCCCCTGAAGAAGGCTGGAGCATACAACGGCCGAAACATTGTAATAAATATGGTGACAAAGATGAGGACAATAGTCCGAATAATGTAAATAGTGTACATAATACCTCATCACAGAAATATAGACAGATACTGAAGAAGACTGAAGCTTACAATGGCCGAAACGTTGTAATAAATATGGTGACAAACATGTGGACAATAATCTGAATAATATAAATAGAGTACATAATACCTCATCTCAGAAATATAGACAGATACTGAGGAAGGCCGAAGCATACAATGGACGAAACGTTGTAATAAATATGGTGACAAAGATGAGGACAATAGTCCGAATAATGTAAACAGTGTACATAATACCTCATCTCAGAAATATAGACAGATACAGAAGCTTTGGCATCGTTTGGCGGGACACATCTGTCTCTGTCCTAATCATAGACGTTAATATAGACCAGCACATGGATATACTATATTTCGGTATCGTTTCCATTTGATTCCTCATCCACCCATTTACTCTCCAATGTCAGGTGTTATTTTTTTTATAGTGAATCTGTAATAATAATGAATTCTTGTTTAAATAGTAAAATAAATTTTCAAAAGGTAGCCTTTCTGCATTTGTCATTGCTATTTTGTAAATAATCATGCTTTTTAAAACCCCAAATTAAAAAAAAAAAAAAAAAAAGAACCTTAAAATTGTTCTTTTTATTAATTCCTTTCTAGCTTTTTTTTATTTATTTTGTAAATAATCCTGCTCTTTTTAAATTCCATGCAAAGTTTGCACATTGCATGCACAATAATCTAGACTACTCAAGGCAAACATATGTAAATAACACCAGTAGCCGTGATGTGAATAAGTCCAAAATTTTATTGTTAATAACTCTCAAACGGCAGATCTCCGCAAACTTTTACTATTATTTTCGAAATAAGAATGTAAATTTACCTCAAAATGGAAATTTTAAGGAAATTTCAATTGCAATTGGTGTGCAGGTCTGACACTGCAAATTACCAGTTTAATCAAGTGAATTATGATCCATTTCAGTAAAAGAGATTTGGCAAATATGGATAAATGTACATGCAATAATATGGAGCATCAAAATGCCAGTTTTTCCCATGATGCTTCTTTCTTAACTAGCTTCACTCTTTGGCAATGTCTATTGTTTTTATAAAGCAATGATTAGAACTGGAATAAGACCTCAATATATGAAAGTGAATTTATACATTTTCTTTGTTCTTGAGAATTTACAAAAAAGGCAATAAACACAAAGAGAAAGACATCCTGGATCTGAGCAATCACAGTGAAGTTGCTTTGACTATTTTTAAAATCAATAAAATTTTAAAAAATATACATATATATATATAAAATTAAATTTAAAGAAAGATTTAAAAAGGAATTTCGCTTTTTATTCAAAGAGTCACTGTAGATCTCGATAAATAATAAAAAAATAGTAGCAATTAATACGCAGAATCAAAAAATGAATTTAAAGCAAACAGAACGTTCATTGGCTACATCTGAGTTTTTTGGTTTTTGTGTGTGTGTGTGTGTGTGTAGAGTATGATGGTACAGACAAGGGGCCCTATGCTCTGAACGGAGGCTTATTGTGTAATGAAGGGGTAGATCTGGAACGACAGGAATCATATGAAGATCGACTTGAGCAAGAAGCCTTTGATAAACGACCTGAAAGAAAAAATATGTGACAAAATTAAACAGAGAAATCAAACAAAACAAATTGTCCTTCCCCAGAAAAAAAGCTCATTTTTTTCTTTTTTATAATCATTTCATCCCAAGCAAGGCAATAAAGCCACTAAGACACAAGAGATTACTGTGTGCTAAAGAATATTAAGGTGAGAGGATAATAAAAGAAGAATTAAGAGGACAGAAGAAAACGATTGACATTGCTTGTTCTTTTTTTTTTTTAAGTCGTTTTTCTTAAGTCGTTTTTATTTAAATGTTGGAAACATAACTGACATGAAATATATTTATATTTTATTACTGAATTTTGTGATCTGGTATTTTATGAATTTCTGTAAATTCAAATTGTTTGTGTGCCCCCACACAACAGTAGAGAACCATTTGATATCAGACTTTTATGTAAATTATTAACACCAGAAAGAACAATGAAAATTTTACAGTATTCCTATTTTAATTTTCTGATGAAACATAATTTTTAAGTTAATGATTGAATAAGCAAGTTTTACAACAATAGAATATCCAAAGAAATTCCCCTGTAACATCATTAAATATTTGAGCTTAACAACTTTAACAAAATATTGCAATAACAATCATAAATATAAATGCTGGTTGTTATTTTAAGAAGTAAGGGGGTACAAATGAAAAGATTTGAAATTGACAACTTTTTTCATTTCACAGAAAGACATTAAATAATATTAACTTCCCTTTTTTCTTGCATTCATTTTCTCACTGAAACCAAATAGTGTATGTTTTGTTTTTCTATGCAAACAAAACAGAATAGTCCATTACTTTTATGAGGTATTGGCAGGAGATGTTAAATACTTCTATGATTATGTCTTTCTTTCTTTCTAGCCAAATCCCTATCTTATGAACATTTCTTAATAATAATTTTAAAATAATTCAGCAGACATTGTTATTTTATTTATGGTAACTGGATTTTTGGTGATTGACTTACCATTTGATACTGTGTATCTGAACAATAGTGCTTTTATTGCAGTCATTAGCCTTTTGGCTAAGATCAAAGTTTAGTATCTGTTCTTATCTGCTTAATCTGATTGTCCCTTGCCAATTCTATCTTCCCTTCTTTTTTTCATTTTCTCACTGAAATCAAGTAAATTTGAATAATTTTTTCTGTTTGTTTTTCATGTGGTCAAAAACAGAAAAGCCATTATTTGGGACATTGGAAGGGTGTAATGGTTGCAAGAACTAACAAAGGGAGGGAGGGACAAGCAGACTTATAATTAACATTGTGCTTACAACATTTTATTTGTGTAACATTTTTTTAAAAGTATATTTTAATAAATATTTCAGTTGTGTTTTTTTTATTTTATCAATTTTTATTTTTAAATTGACAAATAAAAGCAATGTTTTTGCAGGTAATTTTTTAATTCATGTGACGGTATAGAAATAATTTATAATAATTGTCTTGTCAAAATTTAATTTTAACACCTCCTCCAAAACGAAAGTGCTTTCTTTTAATCGTCTAAGATTTACCTTCCATCAGCATGGTTGATGCTAACCTCCAAGAAAGTGACTAGTGTTTTCTGCTGACATAAATTGGAAAGATTATATTGAATCCATTGCCAGATCTGCTGCTAGGAAAGTTGATTCATTGTGTTCAGCTAGACAATTTTTCTCCCCAGAATCTATCTTACATATTTATAAGTCTACCATTTGTCCTTGCTTTAAATATTGCTGCCACATCTGGTCTGGTGTTCCTGCTATATATTTAGAGATTCTTGATAAAATTCAAAGAATTTGCAACATTATTGGTCCTGGCCTGGTATCTTGGTGTTAGTCACTTTCTCTACCACTGTGCCTTTTCTATAAATACTTTTGTGGTAAATGTTCTGATGAACTTTCCTCAATGGTGCCCAGATTTTACGAATTTAAGTACAGTACTAGATTGGCAGCAGGGTCTCATCTTTTTACAGTTAAAATGGCTATATGTAACTGTAATTTCTATGTGAACAGTTTCTTTTATTGCACTTCTTGCTTGTGGAACTCTCTCCCAGATGCTTGCTTCTCAGTCAACTTTGATCTTCAAGAATTTAAATGCAATGTCAATTGTTACTTTTTGCTTTCATGATTCCTGTTCATTTATTGTTCTTTCTCCTTAACAGTATATTTTTCTCATATTCTCTAACACTCAGTATCCATTTGCATCTTAGCGGCTTTATTGCCTGGCTTAAAATATAAAATAAACTTCTAAATGACTGACTTCTAAAATGAGTTCTCATTTTTTAGATTCCCAAAAGTTCAAAACTGCTCAGTTTCATATCTAAAGAAGGATGCACTTAAAGGTATATTTCAGTTTGTTTGATCAATATATATAATATTCATGGCTGAGTTGGTTGAAAATCTGAGATGTTTCTTCTGTATCATTATTAGGTTTGAATATTAAAATAAAATGCATTTTTTTTTTTAACATTATTTCTTAAATATTCAGGCTGGTAGATAAATAAATATACAGTTTAAAAATAAACAAATATGGGTATCCACTAAAAATAATGTTTAAAGTGATATATATATATATATATATATATATATATATATATATATATATATATATGTGAATATACATAATATCCAAGTCCATAACATGACTCAGAGTTTCATACAAACTTGAGGTGCTGAAAATATTTTGACTATTATGATATTCATATTCTTGTGGTGATGATTTAAAATTGTGCGTTAAGACTTGTTTATTTTATTATTGTTGCCTAAAATATTATAATTAATTATTTATAATTTATATCATTCGAATTCTAAATTTCAAAAGATGAAGAATAAAATTAAAATTAAAAATTATTTTATATGAAAAATTAGAAATCAAGTAAACACGTTAAGTATCAAGAGGGATAACTCGCTTTTTTGCATAAAATACCATTGTTATAACATTTAAAGTATTGTCCAATGGAATAAACTTAGTACTCATGATGTTAATATAATAAAAGATCAACACTATATATCTGATGTGTTTGAAACTTAACCTTATACTTACAAAGGTGAAATGACATATATACACGTTATAAGTTAATAAGTATTAATAATAATTAATCAAGTACAATAAGAATAGATTATATATGTCTATAGAAATATAAAAAATGTTATTAATAATAGGTTCTATGAATATTAATAGGTGTTACATATTATATTAATATTCATAAAATCTATTTTAATCGGGGTCAATGTGTTTGAGCAGATATTCGGTTTTATGGATACATGAAGACATCAATTCACTTCTTGTGTTCAGCAAGATAGGTCAGTGAATATGACTTATCAGTGGACATAAAGTTGGTGAAATCCAACCAGAGCCGAGCAGACAAGTTGACAAGAGTCCTGTGGAGATGGCTCAATGCAGTTAGGAAGGGGACGGAACTGGTGAAACTTTTCTGTGCAGTATCAGTGAGCAAATGTGGCTCGGACAAGATAAGGTCGGTACACTGTCAAAGTGGGCATCATGGCATTAAAAGAATGTGAATTGAACCAGTGGTGTCCAATGCAGTGGTTAGGGCCATAGTCAGAGAATGCAGAGCATGTAAGTCCATTGACCCATCACCAGTATGATGTCCAAGAGGAAAGTTAGACATTAGTGATATATACACCAGGGTTGGGATGGATATTATTAATCATGATGGTAAACATTACCTGACGTTGATTGACCGTGGACCCACTTGATTCACAATCTGACAAAAACTGCATCGACACAATAAAACCAGCGTTATCAACCATTTAAAGATCCTATTTTTCGAATGGGGACCTCCTGCTGAACTTCTCACTAGCAATGACACTGCTTTCTGTAGCAAACCATTCAAGTAGTTTTTAGATGGTGGTGGAATTTATTAAACAGAGTTTTGTGCAAATGATTCCCCAATCAATACAATCTTCAAGTCTTGAGTATAACCATTATTTTTCCTACATATCTTCGTAAACTGCACTTCTTACCTCCTCCTCTTACATTCCTACAACAACACTCTACCTTGAGTGATTCTTGGGCTTTGTGTTGGGTGAACAATTAGTAAAAAAAGAACCACTGAAGATTCAGTCAGTGTCATCAACCATTTAAAGGTCCTATTTTTTGAATGGGGACCTCCTGCTGAACTTCTCACTAGCAATGACACTGCTTTCTGTAGTAAACCATTCAAGGAGGTTTTAGGCAAATGGGGGAATCCATTTCTGCTCTCCACAAGTCCCCTCCAGTAACCGGATAGTTGAACATTGCCACCAAAGTGTAAAGTGAATTGATACATGAAAACAATGCTCAGTGATGGAAGCCATATATTAGTAAAACATTACACCCAAAAATGACGTGTCACCTTCCACTACATGTATATCATTTACTTTGGGCATGAGGTATTGATAAAATAAAGGTTCACCAAATCAAGAACGTTAATTGACATATGAGCTAGGGGACTCTGTGTGGATAAAACCTACTCAAAACCGATGTACAACTCAATATCAAGTGGGACGTGTCACAGGAATTAGCAACCCACATGATTTGTGTTGATTGGATGCCTCACTATGTGAGAGACCCGTGGCCCTTTGTCGGTTCAAACACATCAACAAGTGATGTTGACACTAATGATGAGGGACTGGTCAAAATAAGAGATGCCTCGAGTATGTCCTTGGAAGAAAACTACGCTCAGCCTAGTGGAAATACGTCTGATGTCCCTTTGCGAGGTGATTCATCAGGTGAGGAGACAGTAGTTGTTCTTTCAAGAAGAAGTACAAGGCTTAAGAGACCCGCCCTTGGTTGTCACTAGCGTGATCATGAGATCAGGTGGGAGAGTGGCAAAAGAGAAAGTCACTTACTAAGAAAAGGGCATGTGTGTTCTGTATGATATGCCAAAGACAAAATAACCAAAATAGAAATGAGTCAGTGGCAGCTGTTGCCATAAATGCATCTCATATATGCTAATATTGTGTACCCTCTCCAGCCATCAACCAATGAAAAAATTGTTCCATTGATAAAAGTGGTTGGTGTTCTCAAATTAGAAAGTTGTTTTATTTTTCTACCTCGTTCATCAGCTTGCATGTGACCGTTGGCTTGTGTGTTAGATATCTGACCTTTTACATATATTGGGATTTGTGACATTAGGCCTAGGATTGAACAGATTTCAACACTTCTTTCTGCCCCTGGGTCTTCAGGTTTCAACTTGCAATTTGCTTATTTAGTTGTGGAATTGAGCCACCATATCAATGTTTGAACATGTGTATGTGTGTGTGTGCATACAGCAGAATCATGCTGAAAACACCAGTTCTCAATTTATCAGCATAGTTAAGCAGTGTCAAGCCCAGTCAATACTTAGATGGGGAACTGCTTGAGAACATCAGGTACCGTAAGCTACAATCTGATATACATTTTCACTTCAAATAACCCACAAAGTGTTGATAAGCTGTGACACCCCACACCAAAAAACAAATCTATAACCACAACTCCAACAATTAATATCATCAAAATATACTTAAAATGACCCCTTTTTACTTACTTCCGATGCTATGATCCTCAAGTGCTTTGTCCAAATAACTGTTTAGACGTTCAATGTCCCTCTCAGAGAAATCAATCTGACTTGCCATTGTTATATTCTCTGTCTTTTTCTTTGCACCCAATGGCTGTGGTGGTGTCCCAGTGATAAGACCTTCAGGAAAAAGCCTCATTGCCATCTTTAAACCTAAATGGTTAAGAAAAAAAAAAAAGAAGTAATAAAAATATAATTAGCAGATACAAGACACAAAGTTGTAATGTTTAATATCCCCCACCATCAATTTTTCTTTGAGGGAGAGGATTTATATTTTTTATGAATAATTCTTTTAACTTTTAGAATAGAAATAGTTTTGAAGAATATTTAGTCACTTGGATCCTCACTGAGTGCCCCATCTGAATAATTTAAGCTTAATATATATCAATGCATACTTTTTCATAAGATCAAAGATTTGAAAGCTTGTCATACATCCCAATATCCCGAGTGCCCCAGCTTTGTACCAGACTAAGCAATTAATAAACTTCAATGATGAATTATCTTCCACCCTACAACCACTTTCCACACAAATGAAACATCACAAGCCTCTCATTGTGTCCTGGGTATGACGATAAACTGCATCCACGTCCTGGGTAAAACGATAAACTAATTCCAACAGCAAGGCCTCTGATCAGGTTTTGAGGAGAGTGGAACCACCTCTTAATTGCTGGTGTTCCCAGGTCCACCCTGACCCGGGGTGGTAGCACCTGTTAGGGTCTCAGCTATGAGCAAATAGTTGATCCCACAACCTGACTCAAAATACTTTGAAAGTGTAAAAATAAATTTTAATACCAGAAATACTTAAAAAATAATTAGTATCAGCAATAAATATTTGAAAAAAAAAAAAATTACCAGAAATAAAAATCTTGTCAGCATTAAATAACCCATTGAGGTTAATATGCCACAAAACAAAGCAAACTATACATTAAAAAAAAAAAATATTACCAGCTATACATTTCTGACAAAATTATCAGCTATACATTTTTGAAAAAAAGAAAAAAGGAAATTTTGTTGGCATTAAATAACCACCTGAATAATTTAAGCTTAATATATATCAATGTGTACCTTTTCATAAGATCAAAGATTTGAAAGCTTGTCATACATCCCAATATATTCAATCCTGAGTGCCCCAGTCTTGTAGCCTTGTACCAGACTAAGCAATTAATAAATTATTTTCCACCCTACAACCACTTTCCACACAAATGAAACATCCCAAGCCTCTCACTACTCTATTGCTATTTCCATGGCCAATGTTCAGACAAGTTATATTCCTTAGTTCTACCAGTTCAAACTCTTCATAAGTCTTAATCTTTGCCACGCTAATTTCTTTCTAGAGTTGTCTCCCCTGCCATTGCATTTTTTTGAGGGTGCAAAAACATGAACATCTACTGGTTTAAAATTGTTATAACTTTCTTTGTATTGTGTGTATAGATTTTATTTTTTGCACACTAATAAAAGAATGGACGAGTAATATTTTGATGTAATGCGTTATGTAATGCATTGTGCTTTGCGTGCAGGTTTTGATGTTGAAAACAAAATAAAAATTGAAATACAAAAATAGAAAACAAAAAATAAAAAACAAATGCATTAACAATTTAACATCCTTTAACTTTTATTACGCCTTGTGGAATTCTGTGGTTCAATAAAACGTAAAATGTTTAAGGTGGCTTTCATTTTGTCAAAAAAGTGATGTGCTTCCTCGTGTTTACATACAAGAAGACACCAGCATTTGTTTCATCATCCTTTCACATGACCGACACATTTATTTGTCTCATTGACAAATAAAGTTATTATTTTATTGTTTATAAACAGACAAAATAATTCACCTTTAAAAAGGCTATCAGGTACATCGATGGTCACCAGTAGTGTCCATAAAATTAGTCAGCCATGGATGATAGTAGCCACTAGTGGTCATCATTGTTTTCCTCCGTGTAATGATGCCCGGTTATCATTTTCAACCACTTCCCCATCAATATCCACTTGAGTAAAGCTGTCGGAGTTAACTCCTTCTTAACTGTCCAAACTGTCCACCAGGGGTTGCTCTCCCTCCACTATAAATACTGGGCGATTTATTGCCTCGTTCTCTTTTTACTTTGCATTTCAGTAGACACATTTAAAAATGTGATCTCTCACAGAGATTTGCTATGTTTTGCCCACTTGTGAAAAAAATAGTGAAACACACATACAAAAACACATACGATCATTCACTAAAATATAAACTCTTTACGTTCACACACAAATTTTAATGTCTATGTCCATTGTAAATTTTATTGTTTAATACATATACTTGTTTGTATCTATATATCAGCCTTGTTGGTTTTCTTTACACTTCTTTATGGTGGATTCAGTCTCTGAGTCCACCATGTTCTTGTAGCGGACCTTCTTCTGGTAGGAATAAACGCATGTGTTCCTAATTTAACAGCACAATTTAACAACTGCTACAAAGCTTTAAAAATCATCATCAGAGTTCAAATCAAAAAATTAAAAAAAAACGTTTGAATAAAGGCTTCATTGAATGTTGATACAGTCATTTTTGTTTACAAATAAATGACATGAAAAAATTAACATGGGTTTATTTGATGTTATACCTCATGTAGAGTCTATATACCAATTATATTCTATTTAGTTACTGCTAATTTTTTTTAACTGATTTGATAGAAACGCCAGGATTTTACCCACCCAACTTATAAAAGGAAAAAAAAAGAAGCATTACTTTACCTCCTGACAGCATAAACAAATTGTCGAAACCCCTTTCCACTATGGTGGAGGCTGCTCGAGGAGCCATATCTTCATCGTAGTCATACATTAGGATTATTCGACCAGGTTTATTTTTCTGATGATAAACTGTGAAGGAAAATGCTTTGGAAAAAGTATCAGGCTTGATTACAAAGTTTAGTTAGGAATTAATTTGACAAACCAACTAATAGTAATAAAAAAATTTTTAAAAAGGATATATCTTTTTATAATTGCTATTTAATATATTTGAATTAAGAATTACTAGAAGTCGTTCTCAATACTGAGCAAGGTCAACAAAGTCTCACACATGCATATTATATAAATATCAGACATATATTCTAGAAATACGTTTCATATGCTATAAAATATGGCATAATGCCATCAAAAAAAAAAAAAAGATTGATTTTCCTGACCACACACCAACAATTAACTTCTACACAAAGCATATCACAAAAGCATCAATCAGCCTATACACAAAACGTATCACATCGGTATGATAATGTTGGCCACAAACCAGCAATTTATAAAAGGGAAAAAAAAAGTAGTATTTTACCTCCTGACAGCATAAACAAATTGTTGAAACTCCTTTCCACAATGGTGGAGGCTGCTCAAGGAAACATATCTTCATCGTAGTCATACATTAGGATTATTCGACCAGAATAAAATGTATCACAAAGGTATGATTATGTTGGCCACAAAACTATACACAAAGCATAACCTAAAAGAAGGGTCTCTTGCCCCTTATTAACAGTGGATCTGTATAAAAGACAGTCTTATACAAAAATATGCATGGTATCTTTATACTGAGAGAGCGATGCCAGAAGGATACATATGCAAGCATTTCTTTTCTTTCACTGTTATTTGTTCTTGACAGCATTGCTGTCGGGTAATTCAGAGCTGGAAAATAAAAACATTAATTAAAAAAAAAAAAATTAAAAAAACAAGAAAGATAAAAAAAAATTGATTAATTTAAAAATTATTTATGTATATAAAACAGTGAGTATCAATATATTTTGTTTGTAACACTTATCCTAGAGAATGCAGATACTACACTCTGATCTGCTGGCAGAGTCCACAGACAATCTGATCCTCAGCTGGTGTTTCTCCTGCAAAGGAGACACATATTCAAATTCTTTCAATGGCATTATTAAAAAGAATGTCTTCTTGAGGATGCAGTCCAGTCAATAAAATAAAATACTGTTTGAAATAAATGCATTGTCTACTCAAATACAGGTATCCACTAAAAATAACATTTGAATTAATAACAATATGCTTGATTAAAAAATATAATTCATTAATTATTTTTATTTTTACACACACACTATATAAGTATGTTTGGTTGAATAATATCAAAATATTATGTCTATTTATTTTAATCCTCTCAAATTCACAGATCAATTTCTTAGTGTTTTTATTAATCACAGGCAAAAATGCAGAACAAGACAATTTAAAACTTCCCAAAATAATTGGCAACTACAAACCAGAATACATATATGACACATGTCAGATTCAAGAAAATTCCTGTCCACATTCATGTTTTAGAGAAATATTAATCAACAATACAAGTATACTCCACCATGAAATTAAAAACAAAAACAATCTATATAAAAAAAGAAGCCACACTAAATAAAATTAACTATGAGTATAGCAACAATGTTTTAAAATGCCTATGAAGGCAAATGTTTTGGAATGCTTAAATTGTAAAAAAAAATTTTTTTTGAAAAAAGTTGCAGGTTGAGTATTTTTAAAAAATTAATAATAAAAAAATTTAAACTAAGTTACCTCCCTTGCATATCCTTATGTGTAAAATGACTATAATGGTGTGCATGCATTTACAAAAAAAAACCAAAAAAAACTCGCAACTATCAATTACACTAATTTTTGTCTTAGCAATTCACCCTTGAAAATGATCTTGGATGAGATTGAAAGCATATGGTGTCTTTCTTAATCAGTTTTGTAACAGCACTAAGAAATCGATCCGTGAATTTCAGAGGATTAAAATAAAAACAAATAGACATAATATGTCTAGATTATTCAACTAAACATGCTTGAATGAAGATATTCTGCCTATATATAATATTTCAAAAAGTTAGGAGATCAGCTAATTACGCTTACCATTGTTTCAACCATTAGGTATCCTCAGGCGATATAGGCCAAATGATTTCCTTACATTTTATTATTCATATATGAACGCACAACATGAATTGTAATAAAAGAGGGAGGGTTAAGGCAAGATTATTGAAGTCATATCGGAGGGAGAGTAAATAAATTATGCATACTTTTATCTGGATTTGTATAAAATCAAGAAGTGCTTTTAGTCTGTAATTGACTGATCTCCTAATTTTTGAAATTTAGAAGCTTTGTACATTAAATTTTTATTTTCTTTATATGTTTATTGAGCATGTTTTTATACAAATGTTTCCTGGACTAATTTAATTCTTCCCAATTACTGTTTTATAATTATCATATATATATATATATATATATATATATATATATATATATATATATTAAGAAATGGACAAAAGTCCGACAATTTATTTATTAAAGACATTTTATGTTTAATGTTCTTTTTTTAGATACAAGTATTTAAGTAAATGCTGTTTTATAATAAACAGTATTAAATAACATTTACCGGCCTGAATGTCCGAGAAATTTTCAGAGAAAATATTCGTCCTTTGACAGGATTCGAACCTGCATCCTATACAAACCGTCATTTATTTTTAATGTGCCTTGACCGCTCGGCCACAAAGGATCGTTTGGTCAGCCAAAGGTTCCGTATAAAAAACGTTTAATAAATATATATATATATATATATATATATATATATATATATATATATATATATATATATATAGCCATTTAGTGATCAAATTTATACTGTTGAATCTCAATGAAGTTTAAAAAACTTTTACAAACAGAAAAAGGTATAAAAATTGGAAAACAACAAATTCATTCTCATATTAAAAAAAAATTCCAAACATGCTTTCAAATTTAAGAGATGCAAAGATGGTTAAATTTATTAAAAAATGTAAAGAAAATAATTGAGAGAGAGAGAGTATTATATAAATGTAAAGTGGGGAGGGTCTTAAATGATATATTATACACTCATAAATGGCTTGTTTCTGTAAAAATATTTCTATGATAAAAATTTTGAGCAGTTTGCAAGTGGTGCAGTTATCATAAAATATAGCATACCATTTGCTTAAACTAAAGAAAAACATGAATTCAACAAGATATCCCTTGCACCACCATCACACTTCATATTAAACAAATACATGTTGTTCGAAAACCTAAACCTTATTTCCCTACCTTTCACAACCAAATGCTTAATATAAACACAGTCTAGAGCAGTGTTGCCAAATATTTTTTCAATCACCACCCTGTTTTAGGCACAAACTTTTTATCTCAAGTCAAATTAAATTTTGAATATTATACTGATTCATCATTCAAAGCAGGATAACACTTAGGTATTAATGCAAAAATAATTTTAATATTGTTTTCATTTCTATTATAAATGCCAATGATTAAAATGTTAAAAACAAACATATTTGATAGCTTATCTCAATGTTTTTAATGCGACATTTGACTCTGGTGCTTACTGGTTAACGTTCTTACTCTAGGTTCCATGTTGCGTAGAAGTAATCATAGATCTATTCGTTTTCGATATTCATCCAGACAGAAGTTAGATTAGTAATGAAAAAAAGTTTTTTGACAGCTTCTATCAGCTATAGATACCTCTCAGAAATTTTATTTTGTAGGCAATATTGAATAATTTTTGAAAATTTGCAAAAAAAAAAAAAAAAAAAAAAAAAAAAATGATAAATGCCCACCACCCACTAAATGAAACAAAAACTCCCCCCTTTCAACATCATGTAACCCATATCAGGAAACACTGGTCTAGCAAAAAGATGACTCTGAATTGATAACTATGAAGATCATGAGCAATGGTAAGGTGATTCTCAGTTTGCAGATATGGAAAACTGTGGAGGGCCACGAATGCCTGCATCCTGAAAGTGATTAAAAAAAAAAAAAAAAAAAAAAAAAAAAAAAATTCTGTGAATTTATTCCATAAACTGGTACTTACCTGAAATTATGTGGCACTGATTATAAGCATCTTTATCTCTGACATCTAATAATAGGTAAGGACAGGTATCTGCAGTTGGTGGGGTCTGTGTTGGCGTTGGGGGAAGATCAATGTCTACTTCTCCAATGCCTCGAATCACACTAAATAACATTTTTTTTTTTTTAATGAAAAATAAATCAATAATAGCATTATTTGGGAGAATACTGACACACACACACCATATATATATATATATATATATATATATATATATATATACACACACACACATATATATATATTATTAATATTCATTCATACAAAAAGTAGATTTTACTAATCTACTTTTTTTATAAGTTAATAATATAAAATAGCGAAATCCCTTTGCAAACAAAATTCAACCTTAGCGTTGTGACTGCATGCTCCAAAAGTTTGTATCCGTTAACAATAACACATTTCATATTAAACATATTAAACATATTTCAATTCGCATTTAATTTTTCATCTCGGATGCTATCTGAATTTTACCAAAAGCAAAATAATTTCCATGCCTGAAGATGACTGAATGTACAGTTCAAAAGTACTTGCATATTAAAAAAAAAGACCTTATACAGCTTATAATTTTTAAAAACAAGGATCATAGTATTCATCGAATGATTTGTAGGTTAATACAACTTTAAAATTTTGTTAGTGAAGGGATTTCGCCATTTTATATCATTAACTTTACTAATCTACTTTTTGTATGAATGATTCATTATAATATATATATATATATATATATATATGGAGAAATTGTATGACAAAGTGGAAAAGTTTACTTGTGACACATTTTGCTTGCAGGACTCCATCAGACTCAAGTAAACTTTTCCCTGTGTCATAAAATTTTTATATATATATATATATATATATATATATATAATATATATTATATATATATATATATATAAATTTTGTGACTGTTAGTTACTCTGTCCATCCATCCGTCTGTCTGTCTGTCACCCCTCTAAAATACTCATACATTGACCAATCAATACCAAATTTTGGGAGAAGTAAAACAGGTAAATGAAATGGGTACAAAGTATAGTTTTTACTAAATTCATTTTTCATTCATTTTGGGGAAAATTAAAAAATTATTTAACATATGCTCCCACTATTTTAAAACAATTTAATGATTAAAATTATAATCTTATTATTAAAAACCCAGGTTGTTGTGTGTGTGTGTGTGTGTGTGTGTGTGTTTTTATATATTGGATCAGATTTCCTACATTTTTCAACCAATTTCAACAAAACTTCACAGGACTACGTAAAAGTACCTTGTGGTGGTTCTGACAGCGCCAAAAATTGGTAAAACACAATTGTTTTTGCACAAAATCAATTTGAAAACACGATTAAGAAGCATCACGAGAATGAAAGGGAGGCAACTCATATCAAGTTATACTTATTATAAAACCCAGGTTGTTTGTGTGTGTGTGTGTGTGTTCATTTATATATGGGATTGGATTTCCTACATTTTTCGACCGATTTCAACAAAACTTCACTTTTTTTGGCAGGTAGTGTTTCTTATTGTCTTGCACACTTTTTTCTTTATTTTTACATTCAGAATGCTTTAAAAATTCCATTTACAAGACAATTGTTTATAATAAAATTCTATTCAATCGGTAGACTCATAACGATTGAAAACAATGTTTTTTTGTTTGGGTTTGACCAATTCAAAAAAAAAAAAAAAAAAAAAGACATGCTGTCCATCAACCTTAAACAATAATCTTTGTCAATTTTATTTTTTCAGTCTTTATGATGGTCGATACTTGATCTATCTCTTACTGTTACATCCCTGGGCAACGCCGGCTCTACTGCTAGTATATATATAATAAAATTCAAAATATTGTTTTTTGTATATCTTTTCTTTAAGTTTTTATATTTCATTGATTGGTTTACAAAATTGAATGAAAACCTCAACAAAAAATGTTAGTGATAACTTCAACAATATGAAATACTGTGATGATTTCAACACACATCAGTTTGTTGCAAAAAAATTCTAGTATGTAAAAATTCAGATATGAATAAAATATATCTGTAATCTTTTATTATTAATAAAAAAAAATGACAAGAGGGAAACCTATTTTGCCAATGCATTACTTGAGAAACTTGAAGGTAAATGTAGAAATTTTATTTAGTAACTTGTATTTATACACAGAAATAACTTGAAGAAAAATAATGTTATGCATTCAAATTTTAAATAAGAAAAAATTAAAAAATATTCTAAAGTCTGTCTGTGTCAAGAAAAAGTAAACAATGGAAGAGACTAAGTCACATAAGCTTTTGACATATTAAACAGAAGTGTATTAATGTTGTTAGGATTTTTTATGTAATAATCATTTTATTTATACCACTTATAAGGAGACATATTTTCTATGAAATTTCTTGGACATTCAGGCCAGTAAATGTTAATAATCTCATTTTAACTATAAACAGAGCATTTACTTATATCTATAAAAAATAATGTATTTAAATAATATATTTATATATATATATATATATATATATATATATATATATATATATATAACTGTACTTGGTTCTTTTTTACCAGACAGTTGCACTTCTCCACAAAATTTGGTTCATTTGATTGGTCAATGTATTTTTTTTTTTAGAGGGTGTAAAGATTTTCAACTAAATGGACAGATTGACTAACAGTTTTTTTTTTTAATATATATATATATATATATATATATATATATATATATATATATATAAATTTTGTGACAAAGTGGAAAAAGTTTACTTTAGTCTGGAGTCCTGAAAACCAAAATGTGTTTTTTTTAATTTTTTCCCACTTTTGTCATAAAATTTCCCCATATATATATATATATATATATATATATATTCCATGATTTTTTCTCATTTTTTCATATCTGCTCCATGCAATCCAAATGTAAATAAATGATGTTTGAAATTATGAATGTATGATAGAAAATCATGGAGAATTGTTTTAAACAAACAGTAATATATATATATATATATATATATATATATATATATAAGTTCATTTTGGAATTTTTCCTATGGTATAAAATATGAATCCAAACTTTCAACTTTCTAAAGTCATCATCAGGGTAGGTTAGTTTAGTAAAATCTTTTTAAAATACATTGTTAGAAGTTTGTGATGAAAGCATATAGAACACATTTTGGTATTTGAAGTTATGTAGAACTATTGCGTGTTAAAATTAAGCAACACAAAGTATGTCGTTTTTAGTGTGTATTATATATATATATATTTTTGAAAACCATGGAACTTTTACATTTGATAATCTTTTTTTCAGTTTTTTCTTGCTTTCCTGCAAGTTATTTTTTAGTATTTGGGTCTAAGTTGTTGAAATACGATCCTAGTTGATGGTTTTTTGCCGAGCGCTAGTTATCATCAACCGTCATCATGGCATATATTTTGGTTTGAAAATATGTTGCTTATTGTTTTAGTTTTATAGATAATATTAGACAATATTGTTGGGTTATTTCATTATTAATAAGTAGGGGTTGTTTATTATTTGGAGGATTAGTTATTAAATATGTTTAAGATGTTTCTGCCAGTATTAAAATTCTATTTTATTTATGTTGGGTTTTTGATTAGGATGGCTTCCAGAATTTGTAGTTATTTTTTGCAAATATATATATTATATAGGCAGTAATCCATTGGCATATGATCCAAGGGAATCCTATTAACAAAATATTAAATATTAAAACTTATTCACACAGAACTCAATTTTTTTTTATAATAAATAGGGCAATATATTTCATATAATTGATCATTTTCACTTTGTAAAATTAAATTTACAGGATTTTTCATACAGTCAATGGACGATAAATTTTTGAAAGAAATACCCTGTTTTTTGTTTTTTTTTTAATTTCAAAAATTTATCATCCAAATGATCATTTACATAATGGTATCTTAATTCCAATTGTATGATATTATATATATATATATATATATATATATATATATATATATATATATATATATATATAAAATCAAAAATAATTTAATGTTCATCAAAAGTATAAATATTTAAAATATATCTGATTTTTTTCACCATGTTCGGTTCATTAGATCGAAAATGAAAAAATGAAAAAATGTACATTTTTTGTCTATGTTTATTAAATAAAAAACACACACACACAACTCATTTTTTTTTGTTTTCGATCTGATGAAGCGTTCATGGTGAAATGCATAATCAGATATATTTTTGAATACACTATACTTTCATGAACATTCTCCAATTGTCAATAAATTTTAACTCTGCCGCGATCATATACCGAATTTTATATATACACACAAACACACAGCAAAATTGTCCAAATCATGTAACTGACCATCCCACAAAATGTTTAATATCTAAAAAACCATTGAACTAATTGAATTTCTTTTTCATTTTTTTTTTGATATGAAATGGAAGCTGTCTTGACACCATTTGTCATAAGAATTACTGAAAAACCATTTGAGTTATTCAGCTAGAAAGATAACAGGTTAAAATCATCTTGTGTTAGCCCCACTATGTCTTCCTATATGAGCAATGGTGAGAGAAAAATGATCATTCAGGCCTTCAGTAATGGTACCGACATTCATACCCTGTCTTCCATCTTCAAAGTCCATCCAACAAGCATCAAGAAAACAGTGAATAAGTTTAAAAAAGAGGGAACAGCAGAGAGGAAAACTGGATCAGGCAATCAAAACAGAAAGAGGGATCATCATTTCAACTTTGAACTATAAGAATGTATTTAGCTCTAAGTAGAGTCTAATAAATTCCAATAACCAACAAATACTATTCTTAAAAGAGTGCTCAATACAGAGTAAAGCAAATATAATTATTTATTCAAAAATTATAACATAAATATGTTATAACATCACTACAAAAATAGCCATTTTGTTTCAACACTTTTGGTATCTTATCAAGTGATGGTGTTGAATCTAGAATAAAGGGTTTTAAAAATGGTTCAAATTTATCAAACACCCTCGCTCTTAAAACACTGTTACATAAGCTAGAATGACCAATCAAAATACAAGTATATATAATTTTGAAAAACTTGACAACAAACTATGGTTATAATAATTATTTAATGCTTTAATGTTAGTTAGACTAAATATAGAATTTATTCTAATAAATATTAAATTATATGATAAAAATTTTTAAAACAAAAAAATTGATGAAACTGTTTAATGAATCTATTTTAAAATAATTTTTATAAAATATTTATGTTATAATTTTTTAATAAATATATTTTATATATATATATATATATATATATATATATATATATAATAAATAAAAGTTAAATGTTGCTATTTTGTAATGTCATGTCAATCATATACATCTAGAAAAAAAATACATTTAAAGCAAGACAAGTCTTTATAATAAATTGCTCAATATCAGAGACAGTGAATTAAAAGACTTAATATAAGTATAAAGTTTGTCACTTCCTTGATTGATGTTATATATTTAAAAATGACTCCAGAAATTATGAGATGAAATTATTGTACAATTCAGTCTACTCATCAGGAGGTTTCAGCAATTGACTGATGATGTTGTCATTTTTTTTGAATTTTTTAAATATATAAATTCTACATATGTATGCAAATACATGCACATGATTTTAAATTTAAAAAAAAGAAAATTTTTTCAATTTAATATAAAATAAGAAAATCAGCAGTTTTTTTTTTGAAGAATTGACATTTCATTAAACTAACAATTAAAAAAATTTGTATATGAAACACATTTGGGGTGCATCAATCAAATTTAGTTTCAAATTTCATATTTGTATTAATCCTGTGAGCAATGATGATATTCAGGAATCTAAACATTTCCCCACGAGGGTGTCCTTATCTTTAAAATTTAAGGCCTTTTATTTGAATTAGCATTCCAATTATTTTATTAGGCTCGGTGCAAAAATATGAGTCCCTTTTGAACCCGTAGTGACAACGAATTCATAATTACGAATGTTCCTGAAGGAGAATTAACCATAATATTTGAATCCTTTTCTTCCTTCTGTTTTAGACAGAGAGTTGAACCTCCTTTCAAGTAAACTCATTAATTATCTGGACTGCTGAGCAAAAATGACATCTTAAAGAGGATGCAAACAAGGAGGAGGCTTTTGACTTAATATCAGGAAGATTTTTGCTAAGTTTCTGGGAAATTATTCTGTTATGGTCCAGGTTAGGACCAAGGAAGAACAACATTTACACAAGAGTAGAAATAACGAAAATATATTACACGAAATAATAATGCAAGATGTGGAAGGTGTTAGTATGACTGTCAGTCTGGTTGGGAGTGAACTACTATCGACTTGACTCAATTCGACCATCTCTCTTGAGAGGCGTAGTATACATAGTGTTAGGAAGAGTTGATTCTGTAGTTATAGGTAAGGACCCATGACACATAATGAGGAAGGAGGGCTTGGAGAATCTGATACTCACAGGTCGAATAAAGGGAAAGAGAGCATGACATACCTGGCAGACTTTAAAAAAAAAAAGTGTGAAACCCAGGGTCACAAACTAATATTCATATAACTGAATATGTTAGCTCTATCACTGATATTGACTACTTTCAAAAAATATATATATATATATATATATATATATATATTTAAAAAAGAGAAGAGAAATGCAAACGTTTCTTTAATTTTAATGTGAATTTATTTAGAAAAAAAAAAATATGCTTTTTTTTTACATAATTTAACCAAAAAACGTTTTATATACCTCTCTTTTTTTTTATATTTCAATATCTTTTCTCTCGATTTTTGTCTACAACCTCTTTCTTATATATATATATATTCACACATTTTTACACAAAGTTTCATTAAAAATGACAGATAAGCAGATGTTAAAAATTTGTGTACTTTTGCCAAATCCATTTTAATGAAATTATTGTATAAAAGACAAGATTGCAGTCAACTATATATATATATATATATATATATATATATATATATATATACACACACACACAATTTGCAACAATTGAAATTTCATCACATTAACATATATCTCATGTAAATAATGACTATCATCATGTTAATGTTCCACACTACTTCAAATAAAATGATTGGAAGGAAACCTCTGTCAATACTGGCACATGCACTAACAGCTACTGGACTTAAGAGATCTATTTTCTTGATAAAACTGTTTGAAGAGAAAGATTTTATAAATTTCAACAGACAATAGTATTAGCTCCTTCATCACTGAATACCAAAATGTTTCCTTGTAGGGAAACGGCTAATATTACCATTGATCATTTATGTTGTTCCTCCCATATACAGGTTTTCCATTTGTTTTGTTATCTATCAGACTAAATCAAAACAGATTCATTATGCAAGTCTCTTGCCTTTTCAGGTTAAATTCTTCCCTGCCAATTATTTTTGGAAAAAAAAAAAGTTTCATTTTTAGATATTTTTTTTCTTTTTTTGGGAAACTAAAAATGTATAACTTTGAAGTACCCGACCGGTGGCTAACACCCCTACCAGACGTATACGTCAACAATTGGACTCGTTTCAAGCTCAGAAGGGCATAAAAAGAATCAAGATTGAGGTATAAACACATCTGTAGCTAATTTTTGACTGTAATGTTTTCGACATATTTATTCATCCATGTCTTAAAAGAATTTTCAATTTTCTACAAATGGACACATGTGTGTGTGTGTGTGTGTCTTTTTGTATGTGTGTTAGGTGTAAAAATTTAAATTATTAATTGAAGAATATTTTAAATCATCAAGAAGCAATTTTAACTTTTACTTAATAGAGCAAGAGAAAAATAAAAGATATAAGCCAATGATTTTTCTTACCTTTCAAGAGTTGATCTGGATGTACAAATGGCTGTTTCTCCATAATCACCTTCTGTCACGGCTAAGGATGGACAAGGGCTACCTGCCTGGATTTTTTGAACTTCTAAGTCTGTGGAGTCTGGTCGACCAGCACTAACTTTTCCATCAGCATAAAAAGGCAGGAGAAATAGACAAAAAGAATTGCCAAAATAAACCACAGAGTAAAAATAGGAAGTAAATACTGAGAGATAATGTAAGTCATGATTTAGTCAAGTTAGAAAGGCACAAAGGAGGGGTGATGGTCAGAGAATGAATAATTTTTTTTGGAGGAAAACTAATGAAGGGAGAGAAAAAAAAAAACAAAGTGAAAAAGGAAAGCAAAGAAGGGAGAAGGTGGAGTGAGAGAGGAATGGTTGAGAAACAGAGAATCAAGAGAGGAAAGCGAGAAGGGATAGAGAGGAATTTTTATTTTTTATGAGACACAAAAAAAAAAAAAAAAGGGGAAAAAATAAGGTAAATTCCGATAGATGGAAAGCAGAAAAGAAAAAAAAATGAGCAAATAAGAAGAAAAATAGTAGGATAATATAGTGAGCAAGGAATGGTTGAGACAGAGAATAATGAGAAGGAAAGAAAGAAAAATGAAAAATGAGAAATTTTCTTTTATATTCTATATGAGAGAAAAAAGTGAGAGAGAAAAAAGAAAAAAAAAAAGCTTCAAAAAAAAGTAAAAACAGATGCAAAATTGGAATCCAAAAAAAAAGAAAAACGAAAGTAATAAGGAGAGAGGAGTAGAACAAAGGAGGAAAAGTTGAGAGGGAAAGAGAGAGGGAGATTGAGAAGTGAGAGAGAAAAGAAAGAGAAGGAAAGTGAAAAAGAGAGTAACTATATCAAATCCTGTAAGGTAATTCTTTATATTTTGACAGTTGGTGCCATCTGTTCGATACAAACAATTAAACAAACACAAATTATAACTGAAGTAAAAAAATATTTTCCTGTGTATGAAATTAATCCATTAATCCTCACATAACAGTGGCCTTCTACCAAACATACACTTAATAAATATATGTGCATATGTATAAGTATACATGTTGCAATGAGTAAATTGTCGCCATTTTATATTTTAAATTCATGCATGTTGTTTTTGTCAGTTGCACAGTATAGTAGGGTCAGTTGGGCACCATCTCTGTGAGAAAAAAGACTACCACGACACAATTCACTCCACCAGAAATTTGGAAAAGGCATGCTGTACTGCTTGGCATTTGCACAGGCAGCTCCAATACGAACATTTCAGAGTGTTTAGGTGTCAATCTGAAGAGGATTCGGAAAGAGTTGGATGCGTCTAATGGTGACAACAACGGTATGGCAGCTCAGAAAACTCACTCTAATCATTCTGATAAGAAAAGAACTAACAAATTTATTGGTGAGGGCCTCAGACTCAAGGCCTACATCAAGTGCCTTGAGGAGATAGTGCTGCCCTGAGTCAAGAGGGTGGCTACTGGAAGACCCTATGTCTAGCAACATGACTCTACACCATGGTATACAAGCAGAAGAACGCAGTCAGGGCTGTCAGACAATTTCTGCAACCACATCATCCTTTACATCTGGCCACTTAACTCCCCAGACTGCAACCCCCTTGATTATTTTGTGTGGGGTGCAATTGAGCAAGAAACCAACAAAACTCCTTGTAAGACCAAAGATGAACTTTGAAAGCAAGGATTATAGCTGCATTAACCAACTTAAACAAGGAAATCGTCCAAAAGAGTTGCAGGAGATTCCAAAGTTTTGCAGAGGGCATAATTGAAGCCAATGGTGGTTTTATTAAATAACTGAACTCTTTAGTATTTCAAGATATTTTGCTGTAATTTTGGAAAATATATCTATTAAAATGAGATGTCAGTGTTATTTTCATTTTTGCATCATTTAGACAACAATTCATCCATCACACTGCTTATATATATATTTATTTAATGAAACGTATAATATATATATATATATATATATATATATATATATATAAAAAAGTATTTTAAATATAAATAAATATATATATATATAATTATTTATATGTTATATCAGTGAAATTTTACCCTTTTAATATCAGAGATAGAAATTAAACATAAAATATTTATATTAATATTTTTTTTGACAAAAGGGTTTCAAAATTTTTTTATATAAATTCTAAAAAAATCACCAAATTTAATATAAACTTATATATATATATATATATATATATATATATATATATATATATATATTTAAAAGTAAAATTCATCCAAAAGTTTTATTAAATAAAATTGTCTAAATTTATTATGTTTAAACTGATTTTCAAATGAGATTTTGAACATTGGGATCAAAATCTGTCTGAAGTTCATGTTTTGTTCAAGTACTTTCAACTATCTCAGTCATTATCAAGAACTGGGTGTTTTGCAGTGCTGGAATTCAAATCACTATAAATATAACCTATATGTCACATGTTAAAGCAAAAAAACCTTAACAAAAATTTTTTGTTTTATCAAAAATCTATGTCCAAATTTTTACTGCCAGATTTTAAAAAAAAAATTTAAAAGAAAAAGCAAATGTTCAAAATTGTTGTGAGATTCAACATATAAAAAGGCCTCAGCCTAAATGACTAGAATCAAAATTTAGTATCTATTCTAGTAGCTGACAGCTGGCCCAAAAAATTTAGTTTTTCAATTCCAAGATATATTTTTTTATATAATTTGCCAGCTATCTTTCTAAAAAAAATGATATGCAATAAATGTTTTTTTTTTTACAAATCTTCAGCAACTACAAAACCATTCTTTTCAGGATAATGTTCTTATCACCCTCTACAAGAACATGCAGAGATATTTTTTTATTCAAGTCTTCATTTTGTTTGTTGTTTTCTTCTTTCATTCTTTTAAATAGAAAAACATATTGAATAATTTCAAATAACTTTTTTCTCTAATTTTATTTAATGTTTTTGTTGCTTTAAGAAAAGTGGCTTCCAACAATTTAGAGTCTTCCCTTGCAGTGAGTGCTGTTTATTTTCTTTTTTATGCTTTTGTTTTATAAATATGAAAATCCGAGATTATTTTCAAGATATTTAAGGGTTACTTTTTTTAAAATTTCATTTTTGATGAATTTGTATTTTTTTGTATATGTAAGATAAAAAAATAATTTTTCCCTAGACTTGACGAGGTTAAGGTCAGAGAAGCATTGTCTTATAGAACTGCTCCTCAAATATAGCAGCTTTGAAAAACTTGTCAGTGTGATATGAAGGAATTTGGTTGGTCCTTTTAAAATGATGGCATTGACAGGTCTAAACAGAAAAAATATGAACTGGTAGAATTAATGAATTTCACTCATCAGAACATTTTTTTGTGGAAATGAAGTAGCAATAGTCTTGCAATTTTGCATCTGTGGGGAAAGGGATTGTAGAGTGGAAAATAACTCATCCCCCACAAAGAAGGCTGTGAATCTAACCATTTTGTGTTTGGAATTGAGGCTAGAAAAAAGATATGCCAAGGCAGAATTTTCCTAGATATCTATCTTACATTTCTATAAGTTTACCATTTGTCCATTATATATATTGCTGCCACATATGGTTTGGTGATCCTGCTATTTTCCTTGAGCTCCTGATAAAAATTCAAAGAAGAATCAGTAATATTATTGGTCCTATCTAATAGCTTGGCTTCATAATTTTTTCACTGCTGTAAAATTTGAATCCCTTTATGCAAATTTATAAAAAATACTTCCATTTCTCTCAATTGTTCAGATGAGCTTTTTAAATGGTACCTTACTTTTTTTGAATTTAAGAGATTTAACTAGACAGGCTTTGAGATCTCATCAATTTTACAATTGATTGAACCAAATGTAAAAAACCAATTCTATGCTAACAGTTTTTTTTCTCACACTTCTTACTTATGAACTCCCTTCCAAATCCATGCTTTTAAACAACTTTAACCTGTAAAAATAAAATTAAATGTCAATTGCTAAAACTGTCCTCCTGATTAATTTTCTTTCCCTTTTTAATTTAAATGATTAATTTTTTTATCAGCAATGATTGAATAAAGCTCATGGCAAGTTCTATGACAAATAAAATATCTATAGAAATTAATGGTCATTAAATATTTGAGCTTAACAACTTTAACAAAATATTACAATAACAATCATAAATATGAATGCTGGTTGTTATTTTTCATGTCAGGAGTACAAATGAAAAATTTTGAAATTGACAACCCTTTAAATCCATTTCACTGAAACAGATGTTAAACAATTTTAACTTTCTTTTTTTCTTGCATTCATTTTCTCACTGAAACCAAGTAGCGTATATCTTGTTTTTCTATGCAAACAAAACAGAAAAGTCCATTATTTATGAGTTATTGATAGGAAACATTAAACACTTCTATCTTCCTTTCTTTCTAGCCAAATCCACATCTTACGAACATTTCTCTTAATGATAATTTAAAAATAATTCATCAGACATTGTTATTTTATTTATGCTAACTGGATTTTGGGTGACTGACTTACCCAGTTTCTGTCATTCAATACTCTGCATCTGAAAAATGGCATTTTATCATGGTCATCATCAGTTCTTGGCTTTTGGCTAAGATTTTAAAAAAATAAATCTGTTCTTATGACAATTAATCTGATTCTCCCTCACCAGTTCTTTCATCCCTTATTTTTATTTTTTTTCTTTTTAAACCAATTCCATAGATGCAATCAAAACATGTAGTCCAATGTATATAAGATAGCATAACTGTATATGATTATTAATAGAATAAAATAATAGATACGGTTTCAAACTTGATTTAATTGGAAAAAAAGCATCTAAACTATATTGACAGTATTAACAAAAAATTCAACCCAAATGGTGATTTCAATTTTATTGATAATTTAAAAATCTTAATTTACAGAGATTTACCACACTGTCTTATAATATATATATATATATATATATATATATATATATAAAATATATATTGGGGAACAATAAAAATTCACACTTATACTTGAATCAGAAAGAGACAGTTGAAATTTCTGGGACATATAATGAGGAAAGAAGGCTTGGAGAATTTGACACTCACAGGACATACTGAAAATAAAGAGGGATAGAAATTAATATTTAACCCACCTCTTTGAAAGTTGTGTAAATGGATGGTAGAACAGGAAGTAGGAGGGATGGTAAAAAGCCAAACCTTACTGAGAGCTACAAAGGATAGAATGTTGTGGAGAGCCGTGATCATCCACATCCTGAAAAAATACATAAAACATAGAAAATTAAAAAATTTCTTAATTATTTTTTCATTTAGCTGAAGATCAATGAAAATTCTTTAAGATTTCTTTTTTCTTTAGTTGAAACCCATTTTCTTGGTTTCCAGACAAAGTTTGAACATGAACTATTTTATAGAAACCAACTGTAGTAACAGGAAAAAAAAATAAATTAATAATTTATAGACATTCAAATCCTGCCAACCAAAAACAAATATTAAACTATAAAAAAAACAAAATGCTTTATAACATTGTCATCTTCTTAATTCAAATTATTTAGTGCATTATGCCCAATCAACTTGTCAGATACCAAGGGACCTCCATCTCACAATTATGGTTTATGGTGACATTCAAGATAGAATAGAGTAATGGCTTCAAAATGTTTCTTTTGCACTTGGAAAAAAAAAAAGGTGAATTTAACTTTTCTAGTTACCTTCTTTTAGCTTTGTTGCCTAAAGAGGTAAAGTGTAAAAAAAGGCAACAAGTTATTTTTCATTAAAAAAGTTTCTTCTCCTAGACTGGTTAATTTTGTCAAAACTATAAGAACCAGTCTGTCCTACTAATTAATTATAATGGGAGGGGAGAAAATGTATTTATACCCTTCCCAAAGGGTATTAAAAAAATAAGTGAATATAATGAGTTCAACTGGAATTTGAATGCAACGCTCCATTTCCTTAATCTGAGACACTAACCATTACTCTACTGTGCCTCCACCAAAAACAAATTAAAAAATTCAACAAACAATTGTCTGTAAATTTGTTTCTAGGTGTTCACTATTTTTGTTGAGATTGACAAGCAGTTGCTAATTTTTAATCAAAGAAAAAGAGAAAAGAGATAGGCATGTTAATGAATATGAGACAGGCAGTGTCAATTTGTAAAAAATATATTAGTGTCAAAGAAGAGGAAGATGAAAAAAAAAAAAAGAAAGAAACCACATAAAGAAAAAGAGATCACAAGAAAGTGTGGATGTGTAGATTTTTTAGAGAGAACGTTAAAAAGAGTGAAGAGATATTCTGTGACCAATAAAAAGTCATTTTGTCAGAATCAAAGATTACTTAGAGAGAGAGGAGAAAATATCAGAAAATAGAAGGCAGTTTGAATGTGTTTGAGAGAGAGAGAGGCAAAGAATGTGTTTGGAGAGAGAGAGGCTGGGGAATATTTAGAAATCAAGAGAGAGACAGGCAGACATTTCCTTGAATGTTTTTGAGAAAAGAGAGTTTTAATGTTTCCACAAAAGAGAGAGAGAGAGAGAGAGAGACAATAAAATTTGTAGAGAGAGAGACATTTTCAATGCAAATTCAAGAGAGAGAGAGACAGAAAAATGTGTAGAAAGAGAGAGAGAATTTTCATGTGTGGGGAGAGAGAGAGAGAGAGAGAGCGTGAATGTGTAGAGAGAGAAAGTGAGACAGACGCAGACAGCATGAAGGTGTAGAGTGTGATATCCCATCTCCCTCAGATATGGGTTAAATAGAGGACATCTGACTCCAAGTAGATCTAGTTTTATTATCTGTCTATTAGTTTATATCCCACATTGTACTTTTATTACATTTGCAATGATTGGTGATATTATGTATGATCCTGTCAAGACTTGTGAGATCAGCACACTTTCAATGCATTTTCTTCTTAAAGAATCCTTTTCTCTTATCAAAATGGCATTTATTAAGTCAAAATTGTAGTCAGATTTATTACAGTGAGCTACTACTGAGTTTATTGACTGATTGATTGTTTTTTTACAGCTTATCAATCTTTTTGAGGTTATTTAAAGCCAAAACATATTTTTGAATTGTACAAATTTTTTTGGGAGATAATAATGATTTTCTGATACAAGTCTTACTATTTCACCCATATTTGGGAGAAGATGAGATGGATTAATTCTTTTCCCAAGGGTATTTGTTCGAAATTAATATAACAAACTTTAAGAAATTGAAACTCAGACTATTCCTAAATTGCTATCCATTTACCATGAAAATAACAGCCAAAAAAATGATATCCCGGGATAGTCAAATCTCAGGTTCAGACCAGATTCAACTTTGCTTAACTTTGATATGGCAGTAAGCCCCAATGAGCTTAAAATGTTGTTATACAGCATATTTCTGTGATCATCAGTCTTTTTTTTTTAAATTCTGGATGATTTAATGACTATAATCTGTTTTTGTCTGTTAATCCTGCCATTGTCGCGTTGTTGTTGCTATCTTGTTTGATTCTAGTGCTGTCATTCATTCTGACCTTGAAATGCTGAACCCAACACATGTCACGTTGGTGAAACCTGTCATCTACAAAATTTTACATTTTGTTTCATTACCATTTTTGTTTCGGATACTATTATACTTCCTACAAACAGGCATATATTGTTTTTAATCAATTTGCCCGAATCAAGGTGATAATGCCACTAAGATGCAAGGGTCTACTGGAAGTGAAAGAGAAGGAAAAAACATTAGTAGTAACAGGAAACAAAGGATAAACCTTTACTCTTGTTCAAAAGAAAAAAAAAATAGTCAAAGATTCAAGAAATCCGGAAAATATAAAAATAATTGTTCTTCATAAGGTAACAGATGCCATTGCAATTCAAATGCAGCTGTTACTGGATTTTTATATTTTACTTTCTTTCTAGATGACACACAAGATTTTTTTTATAAATACATAGATCCATAGATAACACAGATTTTTGGATTCATTTCTGCATGGAAACAATATTACTGACAAACAGCTGCACTAGTGACTAATAAATGCAAATAATATTCCAGATTTTATTGACTCAAGAATGGCAATGGTAAGAATCAAAAGTTTAATGGAGGGTGGGGGTGGTGGAAATGGGATATGTAAAAGAGGAGAAATACTGGTCAAAAAAATTCAATAATTCAAGGCTTCATCTAAGAAACATTCTCAACATTTAGTTCTTTTACTGGGAGTTGCAATAAAAAAATAAAAGAAATACTTTTGAAAAATGAATAATAATTGACAATGCTTCATCTAAGAAATTCAACCAGCAGGACTCATTACTATTTAGCCATATAGCTAAGAGAAATAGATCTACTTCTTATGGAAATGAAAGTTGCAATAAAAAGCAAGAGAAATGAAGATGAAAAAAAAACTAGTGAAAAATGAATAATAATTGACAATGCTTCAAATAAGAAGGCTAACCATTTTAGTCATTCAAATTTAGCCATATAATATATTCTCTAAATCTACTTCTTATGGATGACAGTTGCAATAAAAAGCAAGAGAAATGAAGATGAAAGAAATACTAGTGAAAATGAATAATAATTGACAATGCTTCATCTAAGAAAAGAGGTTAACCAGCAGAGTCATTCAAATTTAGCCATATAGCTATATTCTCTACTTCTACTTCTTATGGATGGCAGTTGCAATAAAAAAACAAGAGAAATGAAGACTTGGTGGAAATACTAGTGAAAAATGAATAATAATTGACAATGCTTCATCTAAAAAGGAATAATAATTGGAGTCATTCAAATTTAGCCATATAGCTATTTCTCTACTAAGACTTATGGATGGCAGTTGCAATAAAAAAAAAGAGAAATGAAGATGAAAGAAATACTAGTGAAAAAATGAATAATAATTGACAATGCTTCATCTAAGAAATTCAAGCAGGAGACTATTCAAATTTAGCCATATAGCTATATTCTCTACTTTCACTTCTTATGGATGGCAAAAATGAATAAAAATTTAAATGAAGATGAAAGAAATACTAGTGAAAAATGAATAATAATTGACAATGCTTCATCTAAGAAGAAATTCCAAAAATCATTCAAATTTAAAATTCATATAGCTATATTCTCCAACCAATACTTCTTATGGATGGCAATTGCAATGAAAAGAAGAGAAAAATGAAGAATAAAAGAAATACTAGTGAAAAAATGAATAATAATATTACAATTGGTTCATCTAAGAAATTCATGAAAGAAATACTAGTCAAAATGAATAATAATTGCCAAGGCTATATTCTCCAATTCAGACAACTTATGGATGGCAGTTGCAATAAAAAGCAAGAGAAATGAAGATGAAAGAAATACTAGTGAAAAATGAATAATAATTGACAATGCTTCATCTAAGAAATTCATTCAAATTTAGACTATTACTACTTTTCTTATGGATGGCAGTTGGAAAAAAAGCAAGAGAAATGAAGATGAAAGAAATACTAGTGAAAAATGAATAATAATTGACAATGCTTCATCTAAAAATTCAGAGACAACTTAAGACATTCAAACTTTTGGAAAAGCAATAAAATAATGAAAGAAATTCAGTATGGATGAATAATATACTAAAAAATCAAAGAAATTCAGAAGAAAGAAACTATTACTACTTGTGAAAAAGCAATAATAATTGAAAATGCTTCATCTAAAAATGAATAATAATTGCAAGGAGTCATCTAAATTTAGACAACTTAAGACTATTCTACTTCTACTTGGTTGAAAAAAAGCAAGAGAAATAAGATGAAAGAAATACTAGTGAAAAATGAATAATAATTGACAATGCTTCATCTAAGAAATTCAGACAAAATTGCTTAAGACTACTTACTTCTTATGGATGGAAAAAAAAAAGAGAAATGAAGATGAAAGAAATACTAGTGAAAAATGAATAATAATTGACAAGGCTTCATCTAAGAAATTCAACCAACTTAAGACTTTACTATAATAAAAAGCAAGAGAAATAAGATGAAAGGATTACTAGTGAAAATGAATAATTAAATGAAGATGAAAGAAATACTAGAAAAATGAATAATAATTACAATGATTCATCTAAGAAAGAAAATAAGATGAAAAAAATTCAAATTTAGCCATACTATATTCTAAAATTCACTTCTTATAATATTGCAATAAAAAAAAGAGAAATGAAGATGAAAGAAATACTAAAAAATGAATAATAATTGACAATGCTTCATCTAAGAAATTTTATAAACTTTGACATTCAAAATTAGCCATATAGAAATAAGATCCATTTCTAATTTCTTAATGAATAATAATTGACAAAAGCAAAAGAAATTCAGATGAAAGAAATACTAGTGGAAAATGAATAATAATTGACAATGAAAGAAATCTAAGAAAAAATGAATAATAATTCACAAGGCTTCATCTAAGAAATTCTACTTCTTATGGAAGACTATTACTACTTGGTTAAAGCAAGAGAAATAAGATGAAAGAAATACTAGTGAAAAATGAATAATAATTGACAATGCTTCATCTAAGAATAAGAAATCATTCAACTTAAGACTATTACTACTTCTTATGGATGACAGTGGAAAAAAAGCAGAGAAATAAGATGAAAGAAATACTAGTGAAAAATGAATAATAATTGACAAGGTTTCATCTAAAATAAGAAATTCAAATTTAGCCATATAGCTATATTCTATTACTACTTTTGGAAAAAGCAAGAGAAATAAGATGAAAGAAATACTAGTGAAAAAAAATAATAATAATTGACAAGGCTTCATCTAAGAAAATCAGAAATTCAAATTTAATATAGCTATTTCTCTACTTCTACTTCTTATGGATGAAGTTGAAAAAAAAGAAAAATGAAGATGAAAAAAATACTAGTGAAAATGAATAATAATGTTGAGACAAGGTTTCATCTAAGAAATTTTCTTAAGAATTAATAAAAAAGCAAAGAAATAAGATGAAAGAAATTAGTGAAAAATGAATAATAATTGAACCTCTATTAAAATTAACTAAGAAATTTTAGACAACTTAAGACTATTACTACTTGGTGGAAAAGCAAAAAATAAGATGAAAGTTCAAGTGACTAATGAAAAATGAATAATGGGACAAGGCTTCATCTAAGAAATTCAGACAACTTAAGACTATTACTACTAAGTGGCAAAAAATGAAATTTGAAATAAGATGAAAGAAATACTAATTAATTATAATAAAAGGCTTCATCTAAAAATAAGAAAACTTAAGACTATTACTACTTGGTGGAAATTGCAATAAAAATAAGATGAAATGAAATGAAAGAAAATGAATAATAGTTTCAAAAGGCTTGTCAAGAAATTGAAATTGCTTTCATCTATTATTAGGCAAATTCAGCAAGAGAAATATTTAAAAGAAATTAGTGAAAAATGATAATAATTGATATTCCATCTAAGAAATTCTCATAGGATGACAAGACAGTGTCTTAAGCAAGAGAAATGAAGATGGAAAAATCTAGTAGAAAATGAATAATAATTGATGAAAGAAATTAGGAAAAATGAATAATAATTTGTCAATAGCTTCATTTCAGTTTTTTTTTTATGGATAATTGATGGTTGAAAAAAATCAAGAGAAATGAAGATGAAAGAAAAATACTAGTGAAAAATGAATAATAATTGACAATGCTTCATCTAAGAAGGCTTCACTTTAGACTATTACTACTTCATTAAAAAGAGGAAATAAGATAATAATAAAAAAAATACTATTACAAAAAATGAA